TCCGAAATCATCACATTTTCAAAATCAGTAGTTTTCATCAATTCTCGAATCTGTGGCCCAACGAATATCTGTTCTTTTATTTTGTCATCACTCAAGTTAGGATATTTATCTACAAGTTACTTAAAGAAGCAGAATTTTTATTAAGCTCCTTCACGAACTGCTTCATTATTTCTAATTTGATATGAAGTAGGGGTAGTAAGATCTTTTTCGCAATAATCATTGAATCTTTTTGAGAATGTTTGTGTCCCCTGCTTCGAGGCAAGTACGAATAGGCCAATTCTTTTAACATAGTACTGTTCCCTATCTCTGCTAACCCTTAAACGTATAAAATAATACATGGGTATTTTGTAAAACCCGACTATTGTCCAAGGAGCATGCAAGTAATTTTCAAATCTCCACATATACTCTATTCGTACTGTTTATGTTTAATAGCTTCAAGAATAGTTTTAACATTATCGTATGATTCTTTTGAGGAATGAGCAATAAGCAAGGAAGCGTATTCATTATTATTCATCAAACAACCTCCAATTGGCAGGATCATATAACAGTACACATTTTTGCATGAGGACACTGACATCATTACATAGCTACCACCTTCAGAGAAGAACTCAATAAATGACTTCTCTCAATGTCAATACCAAGAGAAGGTAGTTGCAGAAGCAAGGAGATTTCTCTCTTTTAGTCATGAACCAAGCAGTTCAGATTTATCTTTAAGTAAACCTAAATCCCTGACCAAATCATTTAGTGCAGCCTGATCATACAGAAACGGCAGAAAATTTGAATCTTCATAATGAAGTAAGTCAAAATGTCATCAGATTCTCGAAGTTCTCTAATGTAACAGCCGATATCGTCATCGACGTGAAAACAATTCATGAAAAACAGTTAGAAAAGTCTTCATGTGTCGTTTTATATAAAGTACTGTCTACATGTTCCAAAGAAGAGGCGTCCTCGCTGCCTTTTTGGCCAGCTTTTTCATTACCCTCAATGTCTTTGTGACCTGGAACCACTATATAGAACCAAGGAAGATGTTTAACATAAATCTAATTCACTATGCAAACTTAGTACTTTGGTTTAGAATCTTTGGATCAGATTGTATTTGTCTTGCAGATACAAACTAAGAAGTGAGTTGAGATACAGCATAACTCCGAGAAATAGCGCGAGAAGAAATGCGCGAGAAATGACGTATTATTATCGTATGTTGTTTGAATCTTTTCATAAATCATATGTATAGCTTTCCAATTAACTTAATAAACAGTTGTTACATTTTTTTTTATTTGGTATAAGGATACTAAGATTTGATGTCATGAAAAAGAGGAAAATATCTCTATCAAACGAGCCTAACGAAAGGGTACATTACCATTTAGAAAAATTCAAATGTTATTCGTTACTCATTTGTTTTCTAAAATAAAAACAATTGAATGAAACAATCGATATCTACTGAGATATACAGACTGTTTCTGTAAGTCGTAACATAATTTTAATCACAAATACTAGTGTTAAAATGATGACGATTCGTGTAAAAATTTTTGGTCTAAACCCATAAATACTTAAGATATGGACAAACCATATCGAAAATATTTAAAAAAAATTTTAAAAATGTCTTAACTTTGAAAGCCCATATCTTAGCCATTTATGGGTTTACACCAAACATTTTTACATGAATCGTCATCATTCTAACTGCAATATTTGTGATTAAAATTATGCCACGACTTACACGCTGTATACGAGCCCTAACATATAAGTAAAAAGCTATTAACGAGTTACACCACGAATCTGACAACGACCTTATCGCTTGTAAAGTCTTTCTTTTGCCAAAATTGCTGCTCTAACAAGTCGTGCACGATATCATTTCTTCATAGCCGCAATTATGCCTTGATCAAGAGGTTGCAGTGCACTTGTTGTGTTAGCCAGAAAATAAACAACCTTAACATTGCGCAAATCAATTCCCATAACGTTATGTGCTGAACTATTGTCCATTGTTAACAACCCTTTTCTGTTTAGAGCTGCCACGTTGCGTTGCGTTACAGAAGTTACCCAGGCATTTTTCTGAGCGATATAATGGCATGGCAAATGGGAACGACCAAATTTATTTAAACATCTTGGGTTTTTTGATTTTCCTACTATCCATAGTTTTAATTTTTCACTTCCATCAGCATTGTGGCATAAAACTGCTGTTATTCTTTCTTTGCTTTTAGTGCCCCCATAACATTGTTTCAATTTAAAATCCAAACTACGGTTTGACATTAGATTAAAAAAATACCAGTCTTATCAATATTAAAAACATCTTGATACATCTTGGCTTCAACCCAAAACGTTCGCGAAGCAAGTAAGTCGTAACTCGTCCACTTCCAAATTATTGCCACAATAAAACAATACGTGAAAAAGCAGACGAACTTAATATTCCTAAAAGCACAACGTGGAAAGTAATTAAATATTATGGACAAACTGAGCAAATTTAAAAAAAAAGGGTAAAAGTTCAGGTCGTCCAAAGTTAGTTTCTGATAGAAATAAAAGAATACTTGTAAAAATCTGCAAAAAAGGACGAAGAAATATTTTTTGACAAGTTACCACTGAATGGAATAATGAAACTGGATTAAATATATCAAGGGAATGCTGTCACAAATGGATTCTTAAAAGTGGATTAAAGTATTACGAGATTTACTTACAAGCAATAATTAAAAAATATCGCTTTTAGAAAATTGTTGTTTTATAAGCAAAAGAAAAACCACTGTTAAAACACAGAAAAACAACAGAAAACCAGGCTCACATGGGCAAAATCTAAACTGTCTTGGTCAGCAGAAGACTTTTCCAGGATAATATTCAGCGATGAATCGAAATTTGCAATAAACATGAGGCATTTTATAAAGATTGTTTAAAACGTTGTGTAAAATTTCCGAAGGGAGTAATCATTTGGGGCTGTATGACAGCCTCACGATAAGGCTGCTTTGAATTTATTGATGGCACCGTGAACACCGCAAAATATCAACAAATACTACAAAACAGCATACTACCAAGTATCGTGCAGTTAAATATTGGCGAAAATTACATATTTCAGCAGGATGGAGCGGCTTGTCATACGGCCAAAACTACAAAAAAGTGGTTGGCGATCAAAATATTAATGTTCTGTATTGGCCTACCAACAGTCCAGATCTGAATGTAATTGAAACAGTGTGGCACAAAATGAAACAAACGTTGAGGAACAACCCACAACGGACATTGCCAGAACTTAAAGCCAAAATAAAGCAAATTTGGGATGGATTTACTCCTGAACAGTGTAGAACCTTAGTGAATTTAATGCCCGAATTCAAGCGGTTATAAAATCTAAGGGCGAAGTTACTCCATATTAGAAATATAAATCGTGCAATGTCCCAATATTTAGTTGTCAGGCAAAATTTACATTTTTCTAGTTTAATTAGAAGTAATAGGATATATATTTTGTTTTTGTGTTGTTCACAAGATAAAATTGTTGTTAATTGTCTAATTAAATGATATTAATTTGAAAAATGTATTAAAACAAAATAATCTGTTTAATTGTTGTTAATTACATATAAATTCTATTATGTCCCAATATATAGTTGTTAGGGCTCATACTACATTCCATACGTAATGGACACATGTACAGGTGTTCCTAAATTGATGTGAAAGATTTCAAAGGGTGATTTTTCAGCAAAAATAAAGGGGGCTCTTTCATATAACTTTTTGTTGAAAACTACTTCCACGCCAAGATAGAAACAAATTGTTTTATTTAATAAATCCACTATGGAGGAATTTAGAAGAATGAAATATGGCAGATAACTGTTACTAATAAAATGACACCTTTTGACGATTTTTGTAACTCTAAAATGTTATTACAAGGGAGTGAAAAAATCAATCCCTACAACACTTTGCATCAGAACTTTTTAATGTGTCTACATTTTTCTATTTAAAAACTTGATTTAAATCATGATTCAATCTGTAACTTAATTGTCTTTTAATATTTTCACCTAAAATTGTTAGTTTGACCAAAAAAAGATAAAATAATACTCAGACCCAATTAACATAAATTCACAGATTGGTTATTGCCTAAGAATTAAACGTAAGCTATTCCGCATTTAGGATTTTAAAAGAACAACTGTTGTATCCTTATCATTTGCAACGAGTTCAAGCGCTCTTACCGCGAGAAACATCGTCAAGAAGCTAAGGCAACTCCTCTTCGAGAAAATAACAGTATCCGTCTCCATTTGATCTCATTGGAAGAAAATATGGTCCAATTAAATAATTGTTAATGACCCCAAGCCACACATTTAATGAAAGGTGGTGAATCTTGGATTCCACAATTTTATGTGGATTTTCTTTAGCCCATATATGATTGTTATGGAAATTTCGAATCTAATTATCGTCAGTAAACAAAATACCACATAAAAACTGCGTGGCAACAAAATAATAATCAATCTGTGAATTTATATCAAATGGGTCTGAGTATTATTTTATTTTTTTATGGTTAAATTTACAATTTTAGAAATATTAAGAGACAAAAAAGTTGCAGATTGAATCCCTCTATTTAAATCAAATTTTTAAATGAAGAAATGTAGACGCATTAATATGTTCTGATGTAAAGTATTGCAGGTATTGTAGTATTGTAAGTATTGTAATTTCATTCTTCTAAATTCCTCCATAGTGGATTTATTAAATAAAAACCATTTTTTCCCCTAACATTACAGGGCTGTAAGTTGGAGGAGAAGGAGTCTAACTTAATGTTTGCTGAAAGATCATCCCTTGAAATCTTTCACATCAATTTAGAAACATCCCCTATATGGATATGTCATACATATTCATGTAATTTTGGACCCTGTATCCCCTATATATGTGCTATTCAATTTATAACTATCTTTTTATTTCCTTTTTATTCAAGTGACTTATTTATATTATACTAAGTATTGTTAAATCTAAGCTTCTATTATGTAATTTAATGCCTATATTATTGTAACTAAAAGTTTTAAAGAATTTTAAGAAAAACATACCATACTCCCAAGATGGAAAATGTTACAATTTGCAGAGTGGTATAAGATTCAGTTGAACTACAACAAGTCCCATCATTAAAATTCATATAATCATTACAATACATATTCAATAAAATTTGAACATTATGTTGTAATGGTTTTGCAGCCAAATGAACACCATCAGGACTTTCCAACGTCATTCCTTGTCCAACTAATTTTGCACTCCACCACAATTGTACTTGTGAATGTGTGAAGACCTCAATAGCTGCACCATTATACAAATCAATATATTCATTCATCACACCATGATATACTCCAGTTAATTTTTCCTCAGCAACAGGTTCTTGTAATGACCATAGGACAGTAGTTTTTTTCTGGCTTAAGTTATCAACGGGTTGAACCAAACGTGTCAAATTGGAAGCATACTCTTTAACAGCAAGTTGGGAACCATTACCTTTATGTATTGACCAAAGACCACAACCAGCTATAATAACAGATGGTGGTTTAGGATCATTTTGCCACCGTTTAAACTCATCAACCATAACTTTCGAAACATCTTTACTCCAAACATAATCAACTTTAATCTTTAAGGTATCATCTATGTGTGTGGCATCTTTTGAGGGTTCTCCAGCTTCTGTAGTGGCATCATATTGTTTTATATGATCAATAAGTCCATCATATAATGATTTAATTCTTGAATCACCAATGAATACAAAATGGGTGTCTTTTCCATAATAAGCAAGGTATCTTAAACAACGCCTTGTATCTCTAATTACAAAAAAAATAATTGGAATAAGTGAGGACTTTAATAATTAAAATAGTAAAAAGAATAATTTTACTTCAATATTTTTAATTTACAACTTTATTTTTTCAAATAAATGTTGATTATATGGAGTAAATAATAATTAATGGTGTTCAAAGAGTACTGTATAAACAGTTATGAATTTAGGAACATTAAATAAATAAATTTTTAAGTAAAATTATTCTTATCATTTTAATAATAGCTTACATTTTGGTGTAATGATGTAGCATACATCCATAAGGTTGCCATTCTTGATCACCTTTATATCTTCCATCAGATAATAACCACACACAGGAATTTGAACCATATTTAAGATGTAAAAATTCGTGATAACATGCAAAGGTGATAACTAGCACCACAGCTAATCGTTTAGCGTTTACAGCGTTAATCTGCTGGATTAATCTCTCGATACTGGACCTTTCGTTAACCATAATCGAACCATAACATCGTTATGCTTCTCTAATCTTAGAAAAACACCTACTTGCCGCATAACCTAACTTTTCAATAGGAAGATTTTAGAATATCCAGGAAAAATAGTACACACACAAGTTTTGTGAACAAATTCATAATTTGTGTACACGACAAAAAATAGAATTTGTATGGAGTCAACAAATATTAACTAAGAGATAAAATAGGCGTAATAGTTCAATATTTGATTCTCACCAGCAATGACAGCTTTCAAAATATCAACCATTTATCTAAGAAAATAGACAAATCCAACAATATTTTTTGATGTGAACATCTCTTTCTAATATCCTGGAAGTTTTCTGATACGAACATCTCTTTCTAATTTATGAACAACTTTTTAAAAACCATTTCATTTTTATCATTTTTCTTAACTTCTAAAAATTAAAAATAAAATATTTTTTGTAAACAAATGCTCTTCAAAAATTAATTAATGTAATTGAAAATCTTAATCTAATAATAAAATTTAAACATGCTAAATAAACATATCCAGCTTTGTATTTTAATATTAAAACCAAATAAAGAATTATTAAAACTAAATATATTATCTTTTTTATAATAAATAGAACCGTTTAACCGAAATAACAACCGTTACAAAAATTAATTCAAATTTCAATTTCGCGGGTAAATGAGATTCTGTGAATGGTCTGTTTAAATCACGCTGAGGCTGAAGGGAAAACAAGAGAACATGGCAGACGGCAAATGTCGGATGTATTGTTGATCTCTAAGTTCGTATCTTGTATAATTTGCAGCATTTTGTTACAATAATGTTGGCACTAAGATAGTGTAATAATAAAGTTAGTGTAAAAAGTGTTTTCTACAGCGCAATTCAGCTATGGCTGATTTAAAGGTAAGTAGTAAAGAATTCGTGTCAAAATGAAATGAAAAATCCCGCTTGATATATGTAGAGGTTAGCGTCAATTACCTGCTATCGAGATAAACGTGATTTAAATTTTTCTTTACTAATAGAAATGTTTTAAACCGTTTTTCTTAAATTTAGTGTTTGTAGTTTTTGTTAGTTTGTGCATAATATTCTTAAATAATGGCGTTGTTCTTTCGGCATAGACCAATAATTTTCAAGCAAGTTTACCACTTTTTTGCAGCCGGTTTGACAACAAGTGTTGGTTTTTATTTCTTTAAATTTGTTTCTTTTTATGCAGGCAGAGTCAGGAAAAATATGGGAACTCTTTAAAGTGATGGTATAAAACGTAAAAATAAGATGTTACTTAAATAATGTAATATAATGAATAATGAAACCTTAGGTGAAGTCCACATAACTTTTAGTATGTTTAAATTTTTGAGCATGGCATACAAATTTAAAACTCAGTTTGGGATTATTGTTAAATGCTGTATAGTCACATATTTAGGAGGGAGAGAACTGCTCGAGCTTTCTTGGGCAAATTATATGCTGCAAACATTTAAAATCTATTAGTTCTGGACAGGGTTGGGCATAATGCACTAAAAAATAAATGCAATAAGCGTTTCACTACCACTAATTCTTCAGTGGTAGTTAAAACACGAATTTCATCATCACTGAATACAGTGATACCTCAGTTCACGTACATAATCCATCATAATCAATTTTTCCTATTGCAATTATAAAGTTAATCCAAATAATGTACTTATAGGTTTTTTGTTATGGAAAAGTGTTTTAACATTTAATGGTTTTATGTGTTGAAATAATACAGAAAGGAAAATGTAGTAGTTTATGTAATTACCAAAAACATGAAACCACATTTGTAACAAATATATAACAAACATATATACAAGCATTACTCCTTCGAAAAATAACGATCCAGAGGAGTTTGAATTTGGAAAATGTGCCATTACATTATCATTTAAAACGGAGGTTCTCAAACTTTTTTTTCTCATAGACCACTTTAAAAATTTTGCTGGTTCCGTTGAACCCCCTGCAGCTACATTTCTACCATATTCATTAACAGAATTAACAGTTTTTGAAATAAAAGTGAGAATTAATTGGTTAATTAATTAATTGATTGTGAGTGGATGTCAAAAAAGTAAAGTTGACCAATCAAAATGCGATTCCATCCAACTTTACTTTTTTGATATCTACTCACAGCACAAGAAACCAATCAATTCACACTTATTTTATTTAGAAACTCCCCCTTATTTAGAAAATAGTATATTTTCTTGTGTTGTACTTATTCAAATATGTAATTATTACACTATTAATTATTATTGTTATCATATTATAATGTAATATAATTACAATGTAATATGATCAGAGGCGGCGCTACCGGGGGGTGCAAGGGGTGCACTGCACCCGGCGGTCGCCTAAAAGGGGCGCCAGCGCCTTTTTAATGTTTTCTCCAACAATATCTTATCTTTCTTTTGCAGTATTTAGACCTGTCAGCAGTAGCTAGTCTTCAGAAAGCAGTATTTAGTCTTCTAGAAGCAGTATCTGGTCTTCTGCCAAAGTTATGTATGTCACTAAAACTTTTTACGACAAGATATGACAAGGGAAACGCTATCAAATGCTTTCTCGCAATTCCGCACAGTCCAGGATATTTTTCGGGTAGTTTTGCCTGCAGCCAAAATGTTTGATACCCTCTTTTAAATTTCACTTTCAGCTTCTCATTAGTGTTAAGCTCGAGTAGCTCCTCTTGTAATATCACATTCTCCACTTCCGTTTCATCAAATGGATTTATGATTCATGGTGGTATTTCCATCGTCAGAATATCTTCAAATCTGATTTTGAAGTCATCATGTAGGGCAATTAAATGTTGAACGTATGTCTAAATATCCTCATCAAGCCATTCTACCTGTGACAAGTTTGAAAACTGGGAAAATTCGTTGTTGAAGCATCTGGTACCTCATGTTCTTCTGCTGAATGCTCCTCCTCTACAGCTTTCACCTGCTCAAGTTGTAATTCCATAAAGTCTTCTGGAGTGAGTTTTTGGCTATGATCTTGCAGGAGCTCCGCCACATCATCCTCATTGATTTCCAACTCCAAACTGATGCCAATGTTGACAATGTCTTGTATCACATCTGCTTCTTCCTGAAAGTTTTTAAAATGTCTGTCAGACACAGAAGCTGGCCAGAGTTTTCTCCATGCTGACTACAATGTACAGCAAGAGATATTGTTCCAGGCATTATCAATGAACTTTATGCAGTAGATAATGTTAAAATGATTCTTCCAGAAATCTCGCAGGGTTAAATTTGTATCATTAGTCAAATAGATTTTTTCACCTAGAATCCAATGGAGCACGCAGAATTTTTCTAGTCATCACGGTTTTTGAGTTATAAACAGAACTTAGGTTTTTACTATGTTACTTTTATTTAATTATTGACTTATTAAAAAAATGTATCTATTAATTTTTGTTTGCAAAAAACGAAAAATAATTAAAAACTAACGATGATGCAAATATGACTTCAAGTTACAAGAATTGTTCAAAGTTGTCACCATTTTGATGTACACCTTGTTCACAAAGCGTTTAATTGCATTTAAAATAGTTAAGCGATGTTGCTGTAAATGTGAAAAAGCATCATTTACAACAATTTTCAATTTCAATTTTGTTCGATTCTGGGTAGTATAGATGCGATTCTTGATATATCCCCATAAAAAGAAGTCCAAAATAGATAAATCAGGTGATCACCTACCAGGAATTTCTGCGGTTAAGTAGCGGCTCACTAACTGCGCATTATGAGCGGGAGCTCCGTCCTGTTGAAAATAAATATATTTAGCCGTATAAGAGGAATATCATCCAAAATACCGATTAACGTTTCCTTCATATATTTTGTAAACGATTCATGGCCCAATTATAAAACATGCCACGCTAAATCCAAATTTTCCTTGACGCTCCCGCTCAATTACAATATGTTGGTTTCCTTGATACCAATGCCTATTATTGAGACGATTATAGACTCCTGTGCTGTTAAAATATGCCTCATCAAACCATATAATAGAGGAACTAAATTCAATATTATTTTGTGCATGGTTCAAATACCAGTTACGGAATTCCAAACGTTGTTTGGCATCTCCCGGGTGTAAGTGGTGAACTGTTTGTTCTTTGTAGGGTTTATATTTATATTTTTTTTAGAATCGCATAGGTTGTCGATTTTTTAATTCTAACTTGAACTTCAATTTCCCTACATGATGTTTTAGGCGCGGCTTCCACACATCCTAATACGATAATTTCATTGTTATTTCCGATTTTCTTTATTATATTTTTTTGGTCTGGGCTTCAAAAAACTTCCATAATTAATCAAATTGCGCTTTTTTCGCAGAAAAATTTTTGGATTTGGTTGCGCTCTTTCTGGATATCTGAAATGAAACAATCTACTAATAAAATGTCATTGCTTATAAATGTTGCATTCTACCTATTTATGTATAATTCAACAGCTTGGTTTAAATTTTCATTCGCATGAATGTAACATGCTAGCATGTTTTATTTTTCATAACGCTCGATGTCAAGAAAAAGGTAATTAATAACAATACAACTTATTGATGCATTACCAGAAATTAAGTAACACTCGACTTATTGTTAGCACAAAATTCAAAATTAAGTTTGACAGTAATTAAGTAAATTTACTTTGTTTATTCCGGTATCTAGCAACACGATCACTTAATTTATCTTAACCTACTTTTAAAATAATGTATTTTATTAAATTTCGAGGTTAATTATAAAGGTAGGTGTAGAGTATTATCTTTGAAAAACTTGATAAAATTCTAGTTCAATAAAAAAATAAAATATAGGATTTAAAAAAAATCTAAGTTGTGTATAACTCAAAATCGTGATGACTAGAAAAAATCTACGTGCATCATTGAATTCTACGTCAAAAAATCTATTAGAACCCGCTTTTACTTTTTTACTAAGTTTGCGGATAGCCGAGATACAGGGGGTGTCTGAAAATCGTAAATTTTGAAAGACTACCTGTATATCAAAAACGAAGAGGACTATGAAAATTTGGTTTGTGGCATTGCAAGTTTCACAAAAAGGTAGTTCTGGTTCGCGACAACCGCAACTTTCTCTCTTTCATAATAACTGAGATACCCTGCAAACGTATCGAAATTTTGACACCCTGTACATACATATAAATGTATAGGATTAGATTGTACGTACCTCAAAATTAAACGAATAATGGCAAATTGTAATTTCAAAATTTTCGATGTCATATATTTTTTGAAAGAAAGTTGATTCTGAATTTCTGATGCAGGTCGATTGGATGCGATACTTTTTACATTACCACTTCGTTTCCAATCGTTGTCTAACGAACAAAGTTCATCACTCAAACTTTACATAGTTGAAAGGATACGCTTCAGATCGGCCGTTTTCACCACATTTGAAATTTCTTCTTCGTTGGCCTCTGACTGTTCACGATCCAATTCTTTGTATAATTCTTCTAGTCTTCATTTGAGAGTTGTTGATCTTGAACTTCTAAATGTTCTATGACATCTTAAGCAGTAACATCTTCCAATCCCATATCACCTGCAAGCCTGGTAAAGTCTTCAATACGAGTTTCTTGTTGTTCTTCTTTAAAATCGTGCATTAACGCTGGCTGAAGTTTACGCCAAACTCCATTTAAACATTTTGCCGAATCTTCATTGCAAGCTGACTTTACATTATTAATGCATTGAAAGACCGCCAATAGTCTTTGACTGTTTTATCTGAAGTGTCCAAAACTCTCACCATTTCCAAAAAAGTATTGCAGAGATAATATGCCTTAAAGGTTGCGATAACCCCCTGATCCATTCGCTGCAAAAGTGATGTTTTATTTGGATGTATGTAAACAAGTTTGACAACCAGTAGTGTTTTGCTTTCGTCCAGGTTTTGAGAATGTCCTGGAACATTCTCCAAGAGAAGAAGTGCCATGGGTGTTAATTTATTTTTTTCACAAAAGCGAAGCATAGTAGATCAAAAATTATTTCTATACCAACCTGTGATAATAGGTTGTGTGACCCAAGCTTTCTTGTTCCATTTCCAGTAAACTTGTAACATGTCTTTATTGAGACCCTTTAAAGCACGTGGGGCCTGTGAATGGTACGCCAATATTGGTTTAAGTTTCAAAGTTCCTGAAACATTCGCTCCCAGCAAAAGAGTTATTCTATCTTTAGCAACTTTAAAATCTGGAGCAGATCGCTCTTTGCCAGAAATAAAAGTTCGTGGTGGTAACTTCTACCAATAAAGACCTATCTTCAACCAGACCTATCTATCATCAACGTTGAAGATTAAATCTGGAGAATAATTGCTATGTTCTCCATAACCCTGAAATTCCTTAGGAAAAACAGCCGCCGTCACAACATCTAATTGCTTCACCACATAATGTCACACTACGATAGTTAATGTTGGCTCACCTCCATCTGTTTTCTTAAGATTATTAAACATTGATTTTACTTTTTCCGTTATGGTATCATCCACCCATAACAATATATATTTTTCCATTTTTTCAAAAATGTTACCTCTGTCATGTAAGTTATAGTTACATGTTTAATATTTAGTGCATAAGAACATATAATACATACCCACATTCTAGTTAATTGTTATTCTCTTAAATCAGCGACATTTTAATATAACATTGTTGAGCTAAATTATAGTATTTTACCATTTACAATAAGTACAAAGACTTTCCATTTTTTTTTACTCACTTGTGCAAAATTACAATTCTTGTGACCACCATTTACAAAGTATATACAAATAACGTTAAGATAAACTTAGAAGGAAATATTAATTAAGTTATTAATATTTAAAACTCTATGTTGAGATGTGCACATAGTAATTCTTCATAATAAGATTAGTGTTAGGTTGCTTGGACATTCGTCTTTACCCGTTAAGATGATTTGAGAGGATGTTGGCCCTGATGGATTTACCAGGGCCTAGAACGGTAGCAAGTATCCTTAAGTGACACCAGGGATAGGTGGTTCTAAAATTACAGCTAATATAATTGCCTCAAAATTCCGTAGGCATCGAGCTAACTATGTTTTGTCACGTATAGGTACCGTTGTGAATTACTTAACTATGTTTTGTCACGTATAGGTACCGTTGTGAATTACTTTAGAATTTGAATAACATATTTATTTAAGACCATTAATAATAAAATTTTACAAAATTATTTTTAAATTGGTTAAGACATTTGGCAAAACTAATCTTTTTGTTCATATTTAAACTATAATCCGTTATGGACGGCGCCATTTTTACCTTAGTATTATTTTTACAAGCCTGAGATGCACACAATCTTGTATTTAAGGATTACTGATGCTTATTATTAAATTTTAAAAAGAAATTGATTCATCAAAATATGTAGTATCAACGTTTAGTATTTGGCCTGCAAGTTAATATTTCCTAAATATCAACGTACCTTAGTCTTGACCTTCTTTGTATTTAATAATGATATGCTTCAGTACATGATATAAATAGAATTGTGATGCACTGCATTCTAGTTTCATCATAATCAATCTGTTATGAATAATATGTAATTTTTATTATTCATTTTTACAGAGTATGTTTGCTAAAATGGGAACTAGTATGGATACCAGTATGGGAGAAAATGGTGTATCAAATTCTACAGCTTCTAAAAAAGCAGTCCCTAAACAACAATCAATTGAACAAACTTACCAGAAGAAATCTCAATTAGAACACATTTTGTTAAGGCCGGATACTTACATAGGTTCTGTTGAAAAAGCCCATGAAACCATGTACATATATGATGGAGAAAAAGATAGAATTATACAAAAACAAATAGAATATGTTCCTGGATTGTATAAAATTTTTGATGAAATCTTAGTGAATGCAGCTGATAATAAACAACGTGATCCAAAAATGGATTGTATAAAAGTGGATATAAATCCGGAAACTAACACAATATCTGTGTGGAATAATGGAAAAGGAATCCCCGTTGTGATGCATAAAGACGAACAAACGTATGTCCCTTCTATGATATTCGGTCAATTGTTAACGTCTTCTAATTATAATGACGAAGAAGAAAAAGTAACTGGAGGTCGAAATGGTTACGGAGCGAAACTGTGTAATATTTTCAGCACAAAATTTATAGTTGAAACTGCATGCATGGAATATAAAAAACAATTTAAACAGACATGGGCTTCAAATATGATGAAAACGTCTGATGCTAAGATTAAAGATTTTCGTGGAGATGATTTTACAAAAATCACTTTCTGTCCAGACTTAGTTAAATTCAAAATGGATAGTTTAGATGAAGGAATTGTCGGTTTAATGTCAAGACGAGCCTACGATGTGGCAGCGTCTTCAAGAGGAGTTAAGGTATTTTTAAACGGAAAACGATTACCTGTAAAATCATTTAAAGATTACATTGATTTATTTATAAAAGAATCTGAAGACGAAATGGGTAATCCCCTTAAAGTAATTTATGAAAACGTAAGCGATCGTTGGGAAGTTGGAATTACAATGTCTGATAAAGGCTTCCAACAAATGTCATTTGTGAACAGTATAGCCACTACAAAAGGCGGTAGACACGTTGATTACGTAACTGAAATGATTACAAAACAGCTCATTGAAGTTGTAAAAAAGAAAAACAAAGGAGGTGTTAATATCAAGCCGTTTCAGATCAAAAACCACATGTGGATCTTTATAAACTGCTTGATCGTCAACCCTACCTTTGACTCGCAAACCAAAGAGAATATGACATCTCAAATAAAAAGTTTCGGTTCGAAATGTACGTTGTCTGAGAAGTTTATAAACGCTGTTACGAAGAGTGGCATTATCGAATCAGTTTTGTCATGGGCAAAATTTAAAGAACAAAAAGAATTGTCGAAAGCCGGCGGAAAGAAACAAGCTAAATTAAAAGGAATACCTAAATTAGAAGACGCCAATCAAGCCGGAACTAAAAATGCTTTAAAGTGTACATTAATTTTAACAGAGGGAGACTCGGCTAAATCTTTAGCCGTATCTGGATTAGGTGTTATTGGTCGCGATTATTACGGAGTTTTCCCATTAAGAGGTAAATTATTAAATGTACGCGAAGCAACCCACAAACAAATTTTGGAAAACGCTGAAATTAATAACTTAATTAAAATCTTGGGATTGCAATACAAAAAGAAGTATAATACAGATGATGATATGAAATCGTTAAGGTATGGTAAAGTTATGATCATGACTGATCAAGATCAAGATGGATCACATATCAAAGGTTTATTAATCAATTTTATCCATTTTAATTGGCCCGAATTATTGCGTAGAGATTTCTTGGAAGAGTTTATTACCCCAATCGTTAAAGCGACTAAAAAAGGACAAGAATTGTCGTTTTATTCGATCCCAGAATTTGATGAATGGAAAAGTAATACCGCCAATCACCATACCTTCAATATAAAGTACTACAAAGGTTTGGGTACTTCCACCTCTAAAGAGGCAAAGGAATACTTTACGAATATGACGAGACACAGAATACGTTTCCGTTATAATGGCCAAACCGATGATGACCACATCATTTTAGCGTTTAGTAAAAAGCATGTCGAACACCGTAAAGAATGGTTGACTAATTTTATGACCGACTCAAAAAGACGAAAAGAAATGGGAATGCCTGAGAGATATTTGTATGGTAAGGATACCAGAGCTGTAACTTACGCGGATTTCGTCAATTTAGAATTAGTTTTGTTTTCGAACGCCGATAATATACGGTCGATACCTTCGCTTGTGGATGGTTTAAAACCAGGACAACGTAAAGTTATATATACTTGTATAAAAAGGAATGATAAAAAAGAAGTTAAAGTAGCTCAATTAGCAGGTTCGGTGGCGGAACAGTCCGCATATCATCATGGTGAAGTGTCATTATGTATGACAATCGTAAATTTAGCACAAAATTTTGTCGGAAGTAACAATATTAACTTATTGGAACCGAGAGGTCAATTTGGAACCCGTTTAGCAGGCGGGAAAGACTCGGCCAGTCCGAGGTATATTTTTACAAAAATGTCACCGTTAACTCGGCTTTTATTCCACCCTCACGATGACGCCCTATTAAAGTACGAATATGATGATAATTTAAAAATTGAACCCTATTGGTACATCCCAATAATTCCTATGGTGTTAGTGAATGGTGCTGAAGGAATTGGAACAGGATGGATGACAAAAATACCGAATTATAATCCACGAGAAATAGTAGCCAATTTACGCTTATTATTAAACAATGAAGAACCTGTTCCTATGCTTCCTTGGTATAAAAACTTTAGAGGGATGGTTGAAGACTGCGGAGATAGTCGCTTTATTGTGAGTGGTGAGATTGCAGTTATTGGTAATGATACACTAGAAATAACCGAACTTCCGATTGGTACATGGACGCAAAATTATAAAGAAAACGTTCTCGAAAGTCTTTTACATGGATCCGAAAAAGTTAAAGCACTTATACAAGATTACAAAGAATACAATACCGATACGACGATTAAATTTGTTGTTACATGCCTACCTGGGGGTTTACAACAAATGGAAAAAGACGGCTTACATAAAATCTTTAAGCTTCAATCTATTGTGGGCACCACCTCAATGTGTGCGTTTGACGAAGCCGGCTGTTTAAAAAAATACGAAACCGTGTTAGAGATGTTACGTGAATTTTACACACTCCGACTAGCTTATTATTTAAAACGTAAAGAGTACTTGGAGGGTATGTTAGGCGCGGAAGCTGATAAATTAAACAATCAAGCAAGATTTATCATGGAAAAATGTAGTGGTGAACTGGTTGTTGAAAATAAGAAAAGAAAAACAATCGTCGATGAACTTATACGAAGAAATTATTCTCCGGATCCAGTTAAAGAATGGAAAAAACGTATGACTGATGAAGAAGAAGAAGCAGGCGAGGGAGATGAAGAAACTGAAGAGCAAGAAGAAACTGAAGCGTTGGCGAAACCTTCGAAATCATCATCAAAACCAATTGATCCAGAAAAAGCTTTTAAAAACCTAACAGATGTAAAAAAGTTTGATTATCTACTTGGTATGTCCATGTGGATGCTTACTGAGGAAAGAAAAAACGATTTGCTTCGACAAAGAGATGTTAAAATCACCGAATTGGATATATTAAAGAAAAAGACTCCGGCACATTTGTGGAGGGAAGATCTGGATGCTTTTATGGAAAAATTAGATGCAGTTGAAGAAAAGGAAAGAAAAGATGAATTGGGAGACGTGGCTAAAATTAAAGAGTCTAAATCAAAAAATGTTTTAGTAAGTATGTTAGCATATTAAATAGTATATTTGTTTGTTTATTGTATCAGTAAAAATAGTTAATATGTGTCAAAGCTGTAAAGTCATATGTTTTCAATGCATGCCAGTGGCGCGTGAATGTATTATTTAGAGTTGCTGTCAGAAAACATTTTCTCTGTGTCCTGAAATGTTTTGACACAAAATATGCTATATGAATTTTGTTTAGAATTTCGAGATGAACGGAAATATGGAATAATATACCCTGTATATTAAAGTGTTCCATTAAAGCAATGGTTCTCAAACTTTTTGAAGTCAGGGCGCATTTAAAGTTCTACAAACAATTGTGGGCGCACTATATAGAAATTTCTAAGACAATATAATAATAATTTTGAAAGCTATACATAATTATGTTATAAAGTCCAAGTGTGCTTTTATGGCAATCAAATGAGCTAATACAACGAAACAACATTTATTTTGACCTTACTACATTTCATATTACATTTTTTAATGTTAATAACAATTTTAACGTTTATGAGAAACGTGAGGTTGGTGTTATTGAGCGATTTCTTCGATGTCGAGGCATACATTTGAAAGACAAACCCTCATTTCCTCATCAATACATTGAATATTTCCTCTCTTTTTGGACTTGATTCTGTTGAGAGCAGAAAATCCTAGCTCACACAGGTAAGAGGTTGAAAATTGAAGCAAAATTTTCAATGTTTTTTGCGATATTGCCTCATATTCTTCTTTTATAGAAATTCAAAAGGACTCAAGAGGCAATTCCTTGTATTTAATCATCAATCCATTATCAGTGGATATAACAGCTAGTTGTTCTTCTTTTGTTAATGTTAAATTAAAATTACTTGATAATTCCGTGAATAGATTTCTTATCCAATCTTATTGTTCAGTGTTAAGTGATGGAAAATGAGAATCCAATTTTTCTTCTAATTTTGTTAAATGTTCGACAATTATTGGAAGTGTTTCATTTAAGCAAGTGTTATTTACGAATGGAAACATTCCGAAATTTCCTGCAGTTTTTTCTGAAACGCTTTCATTTTGTCAGTGGATGTAAAAATATTTTCTTCTTTACCTTGCATGCTTGAATTCAAAATATTAAGCTGCTGAAGTATATCAGGCAAATATTGTAACCTAAAAGTCCAAAATTCACAGCGCAGGAAGTTACAAAAATGAAGTTGTTGTGTCTGTTCAAAAAAACGCAAGAAGTTCTTGTCATAGCTCTAGTAGACGAGTGAGTACTTTTCCTCTTGATAATCACCTCACCTCGGTGTGAAGAAGCTGCCGTCTGTGTTGGGGTCCATATTGACACACAACTGTTCGAACAAACGTGATTTTAAGAGGTCGTGTTTTAATAAAGTTAACCATTTGAACAACTTGATCTAAAACTACTTCTAATTTTTCTCCTAATGTTTTTGCCCTAAAGGCCTATGAAGAAAGCAGTGAGTTACAATAACATTCTCATTTTGTTTTTTTACAAAAGATATAAGGCCCTTAACACACCTAACCATGGAAGGGGCGCCATCTGTACAGATGTCTACACACGACGACCATGATAACTGCCATTTTTCAAGGTAGTTATTCAAAATGTTAAAAACGTCTTTACCTTTTGTAGAAACACTTAGTTCTTTGCAAAAAAGGATCTGATTTATTATTTGACCTTCGTTAATAAAACGGACGAATACTATGAGTTGCACCGTATTAACAATGTCTGTTGACTCATCAACTTGGAGTGCAAAATTTGAATTCTGAAGTTTATTACTGCATAAATTTTTCTATATGGATATCGGAAGACATTTCTATAATACGCCTGTGAACTGTATCGTTGGACAGTGGAATCTTGCTTATTTTCATTGCTGCTTCATTTCCTAGCACTGTTATGACGATTTATTTACATGCAGGTAAAATAAGTGACTCCCCTAAAGTATGGGCTTTCATATTATTTCTGGCTCAATAAACAGTTTATTATTATTATTATTATATTTTTTGCGATCAATTGTGGCACTTGATAACATGCGATTTGAGCTTTGCTGTTCAGACAGGCCTTTGAAATAGTTTATAGATTTATCTTGTAAATTAAAGTGGGCAGTTTTAAAATGTTTATTCAATTTACTAGGAGCAAGGATTCATTTGCTATTTTATTTTATAGCCACTTATTAATAAATATTTTTCTTTACCCATTTGGGTGGACAACGAAGTAGGTTGCTGTCTCTGCTACCCAAATGGGTAGACAGCACCCCTCTCCAGAATAAAAATGAAACTGTCCACCCCTTTGGACTGACAAGTTTATTTATCTTAAATAGTTCTCCTGACTAAGCACTATCCGTGCGTGTTATCAAAAGTAACGTATCATTTCTAGAACTCGAGATATAGGCTTGGCAAATACGATATGAACTGCAAATACGAAGATGGCAAAATTGGCAAGTCCAACCCATACGGGTGGACGTGGCAGCGAACGTGTTAAATATAGCGGCAAAGGATAATTTTCATTTCAGGTCCAAGTCAACTTACTTGCACTTCGCTTTCAGAATCTTTTCGATTCATCGAGATTACGTTTCTGTTTGATAAATTTACCCATTTTATCTGGTTACATATATCTCAAAATAAGAAATATGCACCTAACATCAACTTCTAATTCACTCAGAGTAAGTAAAACAACAAGAATACTACAACCGGTACAAACGCCTCACAGATTGACACATCTGCGTGATTCCCCTACCGTCCGAGTATAGTTGTACATATATATTATAAGGTTTCCACAGATGGCGTTGATAGGTACTTGTTTTATAGAGGGTAGTTAGGTGCGTAAATCATTTGCAGAATTTTGAAGTTATTTAATGAAGAACAAAATATTATTTGAATTGTATATGGTTATTTTAAACGAAAAATCTGATACATACATTTTATTGTTATAAAAAAATTGTAATTCGAAAGTTTTTTACACTGGAAAGTCTTCTAGGGCGCACACTTTGAGAAGGGCCCCAATGGGTACCTTGTACTTCCTCCCTCTAAGAGGTCTAAGATACTATGTCAATATTAGTGAAGACACTTCAACTCTCACTATACAAAACGCACGGAACATCCACATGGCCTTAAGGTTGCGCGCGCAATCCACCGCCACTTACATCACGAAACACTCCCACTCTTGCCCCTCGCCCACAAACTAAAATCAAAGTATTGCAGCATAAGAACCTAGACAACCTTTTATATAAAAACCTTGGTCATTTTCTACTTACTAATGGCATTTTAAACATTTGGAAACGACAAGTTGCATATAAATTTGTTANATTAAGCTGCTGAAGTATATCAGGCAAATATTGTAACCTAAAAGTCCAAAATTCACAGCGCAGGAAGTTACAAAAATGAAGTTGTTGTGTCTGTTCAAAAAAACGCAAGAAGTTCTTGTCATAGCTCTAGTAGACGAGTGAGTACTTTTCCTCTTGACAACCACCTCACCTCGGTGTGAAGAAACAGCCGTCTGTGTTGATCGACACACAACGTGATTTAAAAGGTCGTGTTTTAATAAAGTTAACCATTTGAACAACTTGATCTAAAACTACTTCTTATTTTTCTCCTAATGTTTATGCCATCAATGCCTATGAAGAAAGCAGTGAGTTACAACAACATTCTCATTTTGTTTTTTTACAAAAGATGTAAGGCCCTTAACACACCCAACCATGGAAGGGGCGCCATTTGTAGAGATGTCTATACACGGCAACCATGATAATTGAAAAATTTTTCAAGGTAATTATTCAAAATGTTAAAAACGTCTTCACCTTTTGTAGACACACTTAATTCTTTGCAAAAAAGGATCTGATTTACTATTTAATCTTCTTAAATTAACTATCTATTCAAAGTTTCTATTCGTTGGTAGAGAACCAACTTTATCCTGAATAATGGTACAAAACCAACTTTAGTTTGTCATATTCGTGCAAAACCATATTGCCACTAGGTAGTATTTACTGTCCGGACCCGCCTGCTATAATCAAAATTTAAAACGTTACGGCTTACTATTTTGGAATTGAAAATTAACGCTTATTTTTTAAAAATATTCTATACATGCGATACATCATTGGAAAGTTAAAAATATATCTCTAAAACCATCAACTATGTTTAAAATTTTTCAACGATATACTACATTCTACTTAAAAATGTGTCTTAAGAACGTATCAACCCCATTTTTCTAATTTCAAAAATAAACGAAATATGAGCACTTTTTGAAATCACCAAAATTTGACTTTTTGGCTATAACTTGAAAACAAAAGAAGATAGAGGTTTGGTATTTGCGGGATTGGATTAGTCTCGAAAAAAGAGACCGAGACATGGTACCTACTTTTTTCGTATCTCTTATAGTTTCTGAGATAGCCTATAATAACACCCAAATTTGCCCACCCTGTACAGTGTGTTAATTAATTATCGTACCCGACGTCATCTTTGCAAGTATGCAACCAATATCACAGTATTGGTATTGCAATACACAAATCGCATATTGTGTTGCATACTTGCAATGATGACGTCGGGCAAGGTCCGTTGAGTAAATATACTGTATAAGGTTATCCAACTCCCTATGAACGCTGTTGTTATGAACGTAACCCCTCCGCAAAGGCCTTGCTGTGACGTCATTGGAAGAATTGTCATTTATGTTTTCATTTATATACGTAAATCAACACAAACTCTTTATTTCTTGAGTTTAATAACACTTGTTTAATTTTTAAATAATTATTAACATAAATATTATTATTAGACAAATTATTATTATTAGACAAATTATTATTATTATTATTAGATAACCTTATAACCAATACTCAACGGAACTTGGACGTCGGGTACGATAATTAATTAACACACTGTATGTATAGTACGGGGAGTGCGTATTCAATACGCGGCACCTAGGCCCCAATGGGTACCTTGTACTTCCTCCCTCTAAGAGGTCTGAGATGCTATGTCAATACTAGTGAAGACACTTCAACTCTCACTATACAAAACGCACGGAACATCCACATGGCCTTAAGGTTGTGCGCGCAATCCACCGCCACTTACATCACGAAACACTCCCACTCTTACCCCTCGCCCACAAACTAAAATCAAAGTATTGAACCTAGACAACCTTTTATATAAAAACCTTGGTCATTTTCTACTTACTAATGGCATTTTAAACATTCGAAAACGACAAGTTGCATATAAATTTGTTACATTTATCGCATTGGGTTTTAGTTTTGCCATCCTTCCCAGACGGACAGTCTTGACATCACGGACAGATCTTGATGTAATCTTTGGATGTTTTGGTGGTATCTCTTCTTCAACCATAGCCTTTGGACATATTAATTGTAAACGCGTTTTTACGTCCTATGATAGTGTTACAATTGTTTCTCGATATTGTAAATCTTGTTTACATAACTCCAAAGCAAGAGATTTCACGAAGTCCCTCATTTACAATTTTTTGTTAGATTATTGCTTTTGTGTGTCAATAACGCATTTGTTGCTACGTTGTTTAGCATACGGTACGTGGCCATCGCCACGATTTTCTAGAAATTGAATCCGTTTCACACAATGTATCTACAGTATCAACCCTATAATCAAGTAGGTCATTCGACATCCGTTGTTGCATGCATGGTCGAACCTAAAAGAACTACTCTATGTTTTATTTTATTTCTTTGGAAGCCAAAAAATTTTGCGTATTGTTCTCTTCCTTTTTTAGTCACAAATGCATTCGGAATTTTTTGTCGTATGGCAATTACACACATCGTAGTTACAGTCGATGCCGTAATAAACTGTCTTTAAAAATTACCTGGGCATATTTTACCCATGCTCACGTTCTTTGGTGTTAAACACAATGTTTTTTTTGTAAAGGTATATGTAACGAGAAATATGTAAGACTATGTCACAAGATGAGAATATTGGAAACCACAAAAAAACGTTTAAATTTATAGAATACAATACTATTTGAAAAGGGTATAATCTTAATCAAAACTGTTAAATGAGAAAATACTGATGATGAAAGTAATTTACTGTTGACTATAATAAATAAAGGTATCTCTAGTATACCTATACTATCAATATGATTAATTATTTACGGGCGTGTCCGTAAAATAAGTACCGTTTTGAAAAATAACACGTAAAACATTTTTTCTACTTAGTTGCAACCATTGTTCAGACATTTGTCGTACCGAAAAAAAAAACTTTTCTATACCCTCTTCATGAAAAGCTGCCGCCAGTGACGACAAAGTTGTCTTAAATTTTTGTTTTTGCCACTCCATCGACTGTTGTTTGGATTCTGGAGTGACATGACAAACTCAAGTTTCATCACCGCTCTCAATTTTGCTTAAGAATTCATCTCTTTCACCATTGTATCGAGTAAGAAATGTCTAAGCACTTCCAAGTCGTTTCGTTTTATGAACATCCTATTATATTTTAAATATTTAGAAAATGATGAGAAGAACTCCGTTTTCTAATTGATAAAAATCCTTTTAGCAATTAAAAGTCTCACAAACAATCACGTTAAAATAAGACAACCCGATTACGTACTTTGTTAGCGATGCTTTAATGTAATCTGTCCTGCAGCTGAAAAGCCAATTTTTTAATACTCGGAAAACATGCAAGTCACTAAATTATAAGTTGCTAATAAGAAGGCAATTTAGTTTTTGGCCCTGTTGACACATATATAACTTTTTTATGGAGTGGAACAACTAGTTTTAAACTTTCGAATTGTAGGGCAAGAAAAAAATTAACTTATTAGAAGTACTGCCTTCACCGAAAGGTCGACGGGTGGTACCTGAAATAACGGAAGAAATTAAGAAGAAAATCCAAACAGCAGTGAAAACTAAAGAACAACGGGCAAAGAAAGGTGTGAAAAAAGAAGAAAGTATAGATGTAAGTTACACTTATAACAGTTGCATGAATTCTAGGTGTCGCATTTTTATTATTTAGTCATATTTTAAAATTAATATTTTTTTTACATTTTTTATTTCTTTACGTTTTCGTCTTGTGTTGATGTGTGCACGTTAAATAATTGTTAGGATGAAAAGGATGAGTTTGATCTGATGGTACAGGATAAGAAAACTCTCACGGAGAAAATTGGTGTTACTGATGAAGATAAAAAGAAGAAAGGAGGACGCGGTAGAAAAGGAAAAGCAGATGGAATGAAACAAACCAAACTAGACTTTAAGAAAAGTGATAAAGGTAATATAATTTCGTTTTTAAATGAATTTTGCAATACAGATGATTTCTTTGTCATTAGTCGCTACGTTATACAGATGTTTCAGTGTTTCATGACATTTTAATCACAAATACTATAGTAAAAATGGTTACAATTTCTGTAAAAATTTTTGAGGTGAATGGCTAAGGTACAGGCTTAAGCTTACGCAATTTTTTAAAGTAGGGCAAATCATAGAGTTATTGAACAGTTAAGGGTTTTTCTTAAATGATTGAGGAATTGAGATTGAGAACTTTCTTGCTAAATAGTGATGTAACGGAAACGCAAATTTGCGTTTCTTACATAATTCCTCCGCACATTTGCAAAAATGTAGACCACCGGAAGCACTTGCTCCGACTAATACGCAACTTTTTTCAATATTAATGTCTATCCAGTGCGACGTTAAGAGCATGAATTCTAAGTACGAATAATTGCTCAGATCGGTGTCCTTTTATGGAGAGAAGATCACTGATTTTGAAAGGACCCTTAAAGCGTTAGGTGAGAAAATGACAGGTGATCTAAATGATCTTAATGATCTAAAATCTCGGGTGGATCATCTAGAGCAATATTCAAGGTAAAATAATATTATTCTGTTGGGTTTACCGGTTAAAATCGATGATCGATGATTTACACTTATTGATGTCGCAGGTTGGAGAAGCAATTACTTGTCCACTCGAAAAATGTGATATTGATGCAATACATTATTTATACGACGTTATAATTAAATTCACGTCCCGCGCCAAATTTTATCTTAAAAATAATGGTAACAAGTCGCCAGGTTTGTCTATACGCAACGTAACTGATAAACTTTTCGTAAATGAAAGCCTCTCATCTCATAATGCTGGTCTGTACAAGTAAACTAAGGACTTGCCCCGCGAAAAAAAGTACAAGTACATCTGGATTAAACATTGTATTCATGCCCATAAGGATGACAGATCTCCATCTGATGATATAAATCCATCTGATAAGATCATCTGATCTTATTATTATTGATATATATATTTTGTTTTATGTTCGTTGATTCGTAAGCCAACTTCCCTTACAGCAACTTCCAGTTTAAAGGTTGTCTTTCTTGACATCGATAGTTATATTTCTCACTATATCTATGTCATTATCAAAAGCCAGTATAATTCGAGGATCTTGATTTTTATGGAGAAGTGTGTCTGTGGTGGTCTTCTGCACTCTGCACGACACTTCGCAATACGATGTTAAACAGGAGTGCGAATAAAGCATCTTCCTATTTGAGACCATTGTATTGAGACCACTTTGACCACAAGTTCAGTAACATCTTCGGTAACAAAATTATTCCAGAAGATCACAAAAAACGGTAAAATACCAACAAGATTGGAAGACTAGTCGAAATTAGGTAAATAAGGCACCCAGAATATCGTGCTGTCTAAGAGATATAATATCGCGCAGCAAATACATGGATGTAGAAAGCAAAGTCCGAATATCAAGTCCTGTGTGCGACCTATACGGCCGAGACTAGTTCCAAAACATCCCGCACAAAAGCCATAATGACATTACATTTCTAGACAGAGTACAAAATGTAGATATAATGAGCGATCTGCGAGTGTAGGACGTAGTGAGATGGACGAGAGCGGGATGTCGGGAATGGAGTGACTATGTTGAAAGGATGAGCCCGACATGAATCGCTAAATGGGCAAAAACACAAAGTCGAGGAACCAAGCGTCCTAGTCAGACGGATTAGGTCCTATAGCAATAAGATGAAGAAGACGAACGTGGCAGAGTAGAATAACTATTACTAATACAGATGATTTCTTTGTCATTAGTCGCTACGTTATACAGGATGTGTCAGTGTTTCATGACATTTTAATCACAACTACTATAGTAAAAGTGGTTACGATTTCTGTACAATTTTTTGGAGTGAATGGCCAAGGTACGGCCTTTAACTTAAGAAATTCTTAAAAATATTCTTAAATATTTTTAAAGATGGGCAAACCATAGAGTTATTGAACAGTTAAGGGTTTTTCTTAAATGATTGAAGAATTGAGATTGACGTCGGCGACGAAGGAACTTCGGCAATAGAGCGACTATGTTAAGAGGATGAGCCCGACATGAGTCACTAAATGGGCAAAAACACAAAGTCGAGGAACCAAGCGTCCTAGTCAGATGGATTAGGTCCTATAGCAATAACATGAAGAAGACGAATGTGGCAGAGTAGAATAACTATTGGTAAAAATATGCCTAATGCGAACGCAACGGAATAGTATTACTTTGCTATGTTATCAGTCCGAACATTTCATACAATCTTGTCATATATTTTCAAACTATCACCATTGAGACTACTTTGTGAGCTTCTTTACAAAGATTTCTGGAATGCCGCTATTTAAAGTTATATTGCTTAGTTTTATTACTTTATCACAGTATATTTGACAGATTTTATTTCACAGTTTGTCTATGTTATTATTAACTTTAAAGCGTTTCTGACAGGGTGTGAAACTGGAAAAAATTTCCAGTTTCCAAACCTATTAATTTCCCGGCGCGGCGTTACGGTTATACACTGTTGGAAATAATTCACGAGCACACCCTATATAATCTGAACGCGTGTGTCTAGCACAATGAAATTTGGTATGGAAGTAGTACTAAAGTAGTGTAACTTACCCTCACATGGAGAGCGGCGCAACTCTGCTAGGGGGAATACATCAATAGCGAGAGTCTCCCCCTTGAGCGACGCGTACCATCGCTACACGACGTGGCATGGAGTTGATAAGTCGCTGTATTGTAGCGGGAGGAATGGCCAACCATGCCGCCTTAACGCCTTCATAGCTCCTCAACGTTAGCTGGGGAAGCCGGTTAACGTTGAAGTCTTCGACTAATCATGTCCCAAACATGTTCGATCGGATTCAGATCCGGAGAACGAGCTGGCCAGGAAGGCATTCGTATACGGTGCTCTTCCACAAAGGTCTGTACAACACGTACAATGTGCGTTCCGGCGTTGTCGTGCATGTATAGCAGACGTGGGAGCTGCCGAACGTAGGGAAGCACAACGGGCCGTAGCATCTCATCTACATATCGTAGACACATCATTGTCTGCTGTACACGTAACAGACGTGTACGTCCACCATGTGTAATCGCACCCCATACCATAATACTCGGTTGGCGGTGGATAGGGCGTTCTTGCACACACTGCTCGAATAGATGCTCACCACGTCTCCGACGAACCAAAATTCGCACGTCACAGACGACGCGCATTTTCACGAAACGATACACCCTCCAATGTGCATTCCCACAACCATTCCTCGCTCAAACTCGCTTAAGTAACGTGATTTCCCTTTCATTGCGCACAGGGTACGACAACATACTGGTCCATCACACTACACTAAAAAAACGGTATCTCCAACCCGCTTTGATTTCCATAGCGACGGAATGTTCCACTTGGAAGGGCGGCTCAGTCAACAATGCCGCGGCAGAAAAATTTGAAACTCGCTGAATAAACTCGTCTACAGTGAACCTTTATGCTCCGCAAATATTATGGATTTGTCTTCCCGCGTTCAGATTATATCGGGTGTGCTCGTGAATTATTTCCAACAGTGTATTACAGTGTATTTATACAGGATGATTGTCAACCTGTACGCATAAATTTGGGGATCCATTCCTTGTGACAAATAATGACTAATAGGTGAAAACAATTGTAGTAAAACCTTTTAGTTTCCTAGATATCCGATATAATTGGTGACATCTAGATAATGCGTTTCCTGGAAGATGGATAGGTCGTGGTGGTCCAATGGCCTGGCTACCGCGATTGCCCAACCTCAATCCTTTTGATTTTTATTTTTGGGGTTACTTAAAAACCATAGTGTACGCCACGGAAGTTTATACTGAGTAATATTGCAAAATCAGATACATGTTGCTTCTGAGATAATTCGCCAACAAGCCTGGTTTAGGCCGCGCTAGTGGGAGATCGTAGATTCAGGGAGCCTAATTGTGTATAAAAGATATCGGAAATAACTTCGAAAATTTGCTGTTATGTTATTTTAAATGTATGATTTGAAAGTAAATATCACGGATATCTAACAGAAAAACTTTTAGTTCAAATTTTTTCGCCTATTAGTCATTATTCCCGTTGAGGAATAATCCCCCAAGTTTATGCGTATAAGTTGAGAATCACCTGTATAATTGAGTCAGTAAGCCGCCACCTGTGTTGCTAGGTTCTTACTTTATTTCAATTGCATCGAAAACATGGAAAATACTCTGTATATTAGTGAATTTGGTGCCAATGAAGAATTGAGTTTCATCAGATTCCATCATATGGAATCCCGAGAAAAAGGAAAAAATGTAGGTAAATTAGCACCTACAGTATGACCCATTTAAAAGTGGGACACCCTCATAAAGTTTGTATTTCTTGTCCGATTTTGATGAAATGATTAATGAAAATCACTTTATTATCAATTTATCTGCAATTATTAATAAGTCGTCAATTTTGATGAAATTCCATGAAAAATCCAGTGGTGTACTCAGATGATTGTGTAAAATAATCCCTAATATACCTTTGTTTTTGTAGTAAAAATGTGACATTTTGTCCCAATGTACAGTTTTATACGTCTTCAATACACATACAGATTTCAAAATTTGTTGAGACGGGTTCAGTAATGGATAAAAAAAGAGCACCCATTGGAATTGCGAATGATGAAGGAGCAGCGGTGGCGGTCTTGGGACATGTTCAACTTATGCCAAACACGCAATCTGTACGACAACTTTCTGCAGCTTCCGGTATTAGCCAATCTAACGTTTTCAGAATTTTACATAAACACAAGTTCCATCCGTACAAAATTAAATTAATTCACGAATTAAATGATGATGCTTTGGATCGAAGGCAAGAGTTTTGCGAAATTATGGCCGAGCGTATCAACAATAACCCAAATTTCTTGTACAACATTTCCTTTTCTGACGAATGCACTTTTTCACTTAATGGAGAGGTTAACCGGCATAACTGTAGAATTTGGATACAAATCCTCATGTATTTCGAGAAGCTCACACTCAACATCCGGAAAAGCTAAACGTTTGGGTAGGAATTTTGGGAGACCACATAATTGGACCTCTGTTTATTCCTGGTAATTTAAATAGCGAAATTTATCTTGAAATGCTGGAAAATGTGATTGATCCGTTAATAACAGAAAAATTAGAAAACGATCCTCTACTACTTGAACAAGAATTGCATTTCCAACGGAGCTCCTCCTCACTACGCCGCACCAGTTCGCCAATACCTCAATTTGCAATACCCCGGTCGTTGGATTGGAAGAAGAGGTCCTATAGAGTGGCCTGCCCGTTCTCCTGACCTGAACCGTCTGGACTTCTTCTTGTGGGGACATCTTAAGTCCAAGATTTTTGTGACTCAGCCTGAAAATTTGGACGAACTACGCCAACGAATTGTAAATGAGTGTCGTCACATAACTCCAATTATGCTGAACCATGTTAGAGACGGTTTTCAGTCAAGATTGTATTATTGTATGGAAGTCAATGGAGGACAATTTGAACATTTGATTTAAAAACGCAGATTTGATTTTTTGATTGTGATAAATAAAACAACATAATAAAACAATTCAATTTTTTTATTTATAACCAAAATATTCTAGGTTGCTCATTTGAGCTAAAAAATTGATTTTTGGTGAAAACGGTTCATCAAATTAACGTTTTTCATACACTGTTGTAAAGAGGCTTCCAAGACCTTTCAAATGAAGTATCACTCAACCCCTCTCCCCTATTCAATTTTGAGGGGTTGCTCGTTCAAGCCTCAAATGACGTCAAAAGATGTCCTCCAAACAAAATCATTCGACGGGTTTCGGTGGCGCGTCTGAGATGGAACACTCTGTATATGTAGGTATGAACAACAAGTAACATATCATAGACGTTGTCCTTTCAAAGTTGATTAGTCATCAAAACCAGGTTAATACGGAATAAGTATACAAGTGTCCCGTGTCTTCCGCATCAGAGCGCATTATACGGTTAAGTATAAGGATACATTATTTTGAAGTTTTTTTTTTTTTTTTTTCTAATAAAACTTTTTCGAAATGTTTATAATAACCGCACGGGAACTGTTTAAAGTCGTCCTTGGTTTTTGTGAGCACATGCTACAGATGTTAGAAGACAACCAACCCACAGCTCATCGATAATTCATGGATTAGTAAAATTAGTGGTTGAAATGAGCCACTTCAGCGGTTATGTTAATAACATAACTTTCGCTATTGTGCCAATGTTGCAGTTTGGTGTGCGATGTTTTCGAAGAGCGTAATTTGCCCACAGAAAAAGTGTAATTGCCTATGAAAAAGAATACTCATTTCCAACAAGATGGGACAACTTTCTTAGAATTTTTTCCGAACCGACATCAGTAAAAATAGGAATATTCATTGGCTACTACGATCGCCAGACCTGAACTTGTGTTACTATTTTTTATCGCAATATCTATCTTAAGTCTCTACAATACAACATTTAAATGTGCGGATTCGAGCGAATTCCTGTCACTCACTTTGTTATGTATCATGGTGTGTCAAATATTTGTCGTAGCACTTCACACTGAAAACGTAATTTTTCTATATGGCTTTTAGTGGCAGTCTCCTAGACCTGCATACCATACATCTATATAGGCTTTATGATGGAGTGATACAGAAGCAATACATTTTTTGATAGTATTTAATTACAGTTTGAATTGGGAGAGAAACATTGTTTAGTCTTACTTGTGGACACATCCCTCGGTTTAGTGTAAAGGTGACCTGTGCAATTTTTTTACAGTTTACTTTGATTCGCCTTCGTTTAGTCTATTCACTCAGTTAGATTAAGTGCTTTTGTAGATGGTAAGAAGCAATTTGGGGATTCCTATGTGTGGCTAAGATAACAGTAGGTAACAGCGTAGGTGGTTGTGGTGGTGGAAATGCTGGTTGGCATGTCTGTGGTATATATGAGGTATAATATCGTGTTCTGATATTATACCTCATATAAGTAGTATAAGGAGATAAAACGAGCGTACAAAAGTGGTGGGGGATTTGCTCCAAAATAGGGCGAACTTAATTCAGAGTTATACCTTGTGGCTCTGACGACAGCGTCCCTTGTGTTAAAACTGCAAACTAAAATTAAATATACTTTGTAGGTTATAGTTGCTTGCAAGTTGTTCTATTCTGACAGATCAGCTGATTTTAGCTGGACCAATTCTATATTATAAGAGTAATAAAAACTATAATAATATTGATTAATATTATTATAATTAATTATTATCTAATATTGAGTTGTAAAAATTATGTGTAATAATGATTAATGTAATGGACCGCAAAAGAAAAAATAACCGACCTAACCTAAACAGATTAATTTTTAATATTTATTTGGTTATTTCTTTCCATCTCAATTTTAATGTAAATGCAATAAAACTATGTGTATTTATAGATGGATTTTTTTTTTAATTTTCAGCTCTACCGGTTTCGATCAATACATTTAATCATCCTCAGGAGCAACGTCAGTAAAAATATTTTTAAAAGACATATTTGTTAGTTAATTAAGTTGATATCCTCTTAATCTTGATTATTTAACTGTTCTCTTCCTTGTTACCCAGTTAATAGAAAAAAAAATCCATCTATAAATACCTACACATAGTTTTATTGCATTTACATTAGATTAATTTTTGTTAGTTTACAGTTTTGCCACCGGGGCGCTGTCGTCAGAGCCACAAGGTAAAACTTTGAATTAGATTCGCCCTATTCTGGAACACAGTCGCCTATTGCCGTTTTATCTCCTTATACTACTTCGTGTGTCAGAATCAAATACTGCCTTGTGGGATTCCGGTTCGTATGGGTAGAAGATTGGGTTAACCTTCTTGTTTGACAAAAAATAAGTTCTCCTCTAAATATGATCGCAGTTTAGTGAATAAGCCATAATGCCAGATTTTATCGAAAGCCTGCAAGATATTCAAAAATGTACAGCTTGTACAAAATGTAAACTTTTCTAAACTAAAAAAAGTGAGGTTGGCAGACTGAATAAACCACAAACGTGCGAACCTTGCCTTCATGTCTTCTTGTCCATTTTGCATTCTGATCAGGTATTTCATATTACGTTGGTTTTTGGATTTGTTAAGCTTCCTAAGAAAAGGATTTAAAGTCTTGCGTGCATGTAGACGTAAATTTACAAAGAAAGCTGTATGGTCAGATAATGTAACAGAATATGAAAGCTCAAATGATCTACCTTTTTCAGTAAAATTCCACTATTGCAAATTTTTCAATTTCAATCTGCAGATATTTAACGGTAGAATATATTATTTTTGAATAATTCCATGTAATTAATAAACCCTTTTCTGTGCTTCCCAAAATTGTTATTAGTGAATTTATTCGTTGCTTTTGGGAAACTTGTATATTTTACTAGCGTAATAATTATTAATTTACTAAAGAATGTTTTAAAATGAGAAATGTTTTAAATTTGCATAGAAGTTTATATATTTTGTGTACTTACATCATTTTTAAATTTTAAGCTAATGGTAGCCCTAAAAAGCGTGGCAAGAAATACACATCCGATTCAGAAAACGATGATATAGGAAGTGATTCAGATTTAGAAAATTTGCGAATGAAAAGTCCACCACCGCCAAAAGAACGTCAGTTAACTAGAAGAGCAGCTACGAAATCGGTGAAATACGATTTAGATTCGGACGTCTCGGACGACGTTGATGATGAACCCGTATTTCACGATAACGTAGCTGTTAAAGAGGAGTTGGAAATAGAGCGCGTGGCGAATTTAAGTTCTGATAGTGAATCCGAAGCACCTCCGGCCAGAAGTAATGTTTCGTCAGAAGATTTATTTGATAGCCTAGTAGGAAGAAAACAATTAGATAAAGGTCCACAACAACCGGAACCAGAAACAACTGAAATATCTGTGCCTCCTGTGAAACGACAAAATAAACGTAAGAAGAAAGACCTGAGCGATTCTGAGGATAAACCTAAAAAGTTGCAAAAAATGGATGTTGTTGATTCAGATTCCGATGTCCCTATAGCAAAGAAAAAGAAAGCGCCTCAAAAAAAGAAACCTGCGCAAAGTGATGATGAAAGTAAAAAAGGGGGAAAGAAAAAGAAGAAAAATGTGGAAGATGATGATGATAGTGGAGATGATTATAGTCCGCCTCCAAAAAATGTTAGAGAAGGACGTGTAAAGAATCCTGTTAAGTATGTCCTTAGTTCCGATTCTGACTAGTGGATTTTGATTGTAAACGTTTTCAAGTCAGAATCTACTAGTTTAATATTGACGATGTTTGCGAATATTTATTATGTTTAAGATTAGTATAATAATTAGTATTTTCTATCAATTAAATTTTGATTTATTTTTTAAATAAACGAATTCTATAAGAAATAGTAATGTTATTTCTGTACTATGGGGTAAGACCTGGTAAGAAAAGTAATCTGTAGCAAGATGGTGAACTGAATTGAAGGTAGGTGTGGTAAGAGTTCACAAATCGAACTATTGCTAATCAAACCAATAATTTTTTTCCTATTGATAAGTGCTATTTTGTTAAGGAATAGTTGTCAAAAAAATACAACACAAGTTCAAAATGTGACAAACGATTGCACAAATATATTGTTTTATATTATACAAAGTGAACACCTTCTTGCATAAGTGTCCTGAACCAAAAAGAACAGAGACGGCTAGAAGACACTGCCTTAGATGACTTTGAGACTGTTTGTTTATACAGGATGTTTCATAATATATGCGCAGGACTTCAAGATGTTATAGCTTGTCCAAAAATTTGAAAAAAGTTTCTATCAACGTACCCTCTAAAGCCTCCTCCACACTCTCGCGGAGTAACTTCGACGAGTAACCTTGTCGAAGTTGCTCAGAACGAGCAGCTCGTATCCACATTCTCGCGGATCTTCACGAGCACTTCAGTACTATGACTGACACCGAACTGGTTGCAGCAGCTACTGCTGCTATTTGTGCGTATAATTTTTATAATTATGTAGACATTTACTTTAAGAAAAAGATTAAAAAATCGTGGAGAAAAAAGAGATGTTGGATGTTGCCGATACATAAGAATAGAACGAGGTAGGTATGATTAATTTTTTGTAGGGATTGGATGAAGAGACAAACTACTGAATTACTTAATGAATCTTCATCAGGAGAATTCGAAAACTTTCATAGGATGTCTCCTCAAGATTTTGAATATCTTCTGCTTCAAATTGCTCTTTTAATTTCTAAGGAAGACACGCAATTAAGGGATGCAATACCAGCGAAGGTTCAGCTAGCCATAACTTTACGGTTATGGCTAGCGGTTAAGCTACCGGTGATTCATATAAAAGCCTTCACTTACTATTCAAAGTATCCAGCCAATCTATATCTAAAATTGTGCCTGAAGTCTGTTCAGCTGTCAACCATGTTCTTAAGGATGAATGTAAGATAAATAAATAAGTAAAATAAGGAAAAACACACAAAATAAATATATTTTATCTACGACTGCTTGGATAAGTCATTATTACCGCACTCATTTGAGATGATTTGAGTTACTCAATGAAGTTCATTACCGCACTGGTTTTATTACGTAACGCATTTTTAGCCTAATCAGAACAGACTTAATTTATTGAAACGAGCAACAATACAAAAGAAAAAGTAATATCTACTTACAGAGAAACAATACTATTTATTATAAACATTAATTGTTATGCTTTTACATTTCGAAACACTTATTCCAGATGAGTAAACATGTTGTTGAAACTGACAATTCAAAATTGTCAACAATCATTATTTCAAAATATTTTTATAAATGTCAAATAGACTTTTTTAAAGAAATTTATTTTTTAGTAATTTTTAGCAGTCGTAGATAAAATGCTGTAAATCACACGTGGGCTAGAGCGTAATTACAGTACTCGTGTGATTACACGACTCGGTCTACGACCTCGTCGTGCAATTCTCCACACTCGTACAGTAATTATGTTTCTAGCCCACTTGTAATATAAAAATAACTATTAAAACACTTTAATGACATGAAATTGTCACATGTTAAATACGTATGAAAAGTAATATAAAAAGGAACTAAGAGTTTTGAAATGCTTCATTGATTACATTCCGTAATGAATTTTGGGCGTTTTCATACTGCAAATTGGTACATTGTTGAAAAGAATGGGCGGATTCGTAAGAGGGTGGCATCATACTATGTACTGAAACTGGAGAAGTGAGTGATGAGGAAGAAAAGTTAACTGAATATGGGCGACGACGTTGCACATTTCTGTTGTGAAATATTTGTTGTATTTCAAACATGATGTCTTCTTTATCATTTTCCGATAGTTTTTTTAACTTTAACTGCTTCAGAAATAGAGTGTACCTGAAAATAATAAGCATAATGATTTATTAATGCAATTTATATCTATGTTTCAGCTACCGTCTACAGCGCAGCAATGGTTAAACCTAGAGAAGGGTTTTAAAGGGAAGTTTCTACATGCAATCGGAGCAATAGATGGCAACCATGTAGTAGTGCGATGTCCACCTAACTCAGCATCAGATTACCACAATTACAAGAGATCTTTTAGTATTGTTCTTCTTGCTTTGGTCGACAGTGACTACCGCTTTATTTTTGCTGATATCGTTTTTTGAACTTTTAACGTTTCAAATAATTATTATTAGTCTGATCAAGATGGCTACCCGTGGATAATGATTATTATTCACCGCTATTATTCACTCCGTAAAAAATGACTACCATTTTGTTTTAGAAAACTCATTCATAAGGTATATATTATTAGGTAGTCGTGGACAAATTTATTTTTTAAATAAATTTTTGAATAAAGGTTAAACGTCAATATGACACAAATTCAACGTCACTAACTGTAACCAACTTCACAACAATTTGTCAAAATTAAATGTCAGTTTTATAAAACGTCGTTTTCTTTACGAAAATTAATTAATTTATGCTTCATCATACGAAAAATAGTTTTTGTATTATAAGTAAAGAAAGTATACTTTTTTCTTTACGAATCGCGAATTTTCTAATCGAGGCGAAGCCGAGATTAGAAACGCGATGAGTAAAGAAGAAATTACTTTTCTTTAAGAATAATACATGAAGTTTTTTCGGACACTCAATTTAAATGAATTACCTACATTTTATAAGAAATTATTTAAAAAGTACACGACGAGCTCGAGAATCAAATTGTCGTTTCTGCCGTTTCCTTCACTACAGCAACCAAACAAAAAAAATAAAGTGGTGATTCATCAGGAGGTGTTATCAAAATCGTCACTGACATGTGGTGATTTATAGTTACAACAGTGTACATCAAGTATAAGCTTCTCTAACCTTAATAATTGTACGTTTAATATTTATTCTAATAAATAATTAATTGTTTATTTGGCTGCTATAAAGAAATGGTTGCTATAAAGAAATGGTTGCTATAAAGAAATGAGGTACTTTTCTTTACGATTTGTAATAAGGAAATATAGGCCATTTCCAGTGAGTGTCCGAAAAAAGAATTTGTTTAGGTTTTTTTAATGTCAAACATTTAGAAACTCCTAAAAAATAGAATTAAATTGACGTTTTTTGAAATTTTAACGTTTCAAATAATTATTATTAGTCTTTCAAGTTGGTTACCCGTGAATGCCCGTGAATAATGATTATTATTCACCCCCATCATTCACTCCGTGAAAAATGACTACCATTTCGTTTTAGAAAACTCATTCATAAGGTATATATTATAAGGTAGTCGTGGACAAAGTAACTTTGTTTTCTAAAACAGAAGGGTAGTCATTTTTCACGGAGTGAATAATAGCGGTGAATAATAATCATTATCCACGGGTAGCCATCTTGACCAGACTAATAATAATTATTTGAAACGTTAAAAGTTCAAAAAACGTCAATTTAATTCATTTTTTTAGGTGTTTCTAAATGTTTGACATTAAAAAAACCTAAACAAATTCCTTTTTTCGTATGATTTAAGCATAAATTAATTAATTTTCGTAAAGAAAACGACGTTTTATAAAACTGACATTTAATTTTGACAAATTGTTGTGAAGTTGGTTACAGTTAGTAACATTGAATTTGTGTCACATTGACGTTTAACCTTTATTCAAAAATTTATTTAAAAAATAAATTTATGGAATCAATTTCAATAGTCGTGGACAAAGTATAGTATTCTACTCGCATATAATGAGCTATTATTCACTCAGGTTAATTATGCCACTCGCTACGCTCGTGACATAAACTTAACCTTCGTGAATAATAGCCCTCATTATATGCTCATATAATAATATACTATTATTCTACTAGTGGAATAATGAAAAATACAATCTTCAATAAATCACATCCTGTTTATTATTTATATTAACATTTATATTAATAGGCATTTCAGTCTTTGATTTTTCATATCACTTTCTTCCATTTTTCACCAATTTTACCTTTACAACCTTTACAACTTTCACACTTTTACAAATATGTTACAAATGGAGTCGATAAACATTTTGGCTTCTATAGGGTGTGTATTGAATGTGTGCTTTTTATTTGCAATTTCAACAATATAATACTTTACAGTATTTGAAGTTAAAAGTATTTCTTCTTCAGAATCGCTCATTTTTAAAAAGTATATTTAAAATTAATTGCTTTGATGTAATATAATAAATGAAACGTCACCTATAAAGCAGAGATCGTCGCTATTATCAAAACTCCACTATAAACAGCATATCATAGAAACGAATTTTGCGCAGCTCTTATCGCTGCTCTCATTGCTGCTCTTATCGTTTATCGCAGCTCTCGTTCCAATATAAACACCTACATATAAAACTATAACAACAATTTCGTTGGTTCGATACTCGACGCTATTATCGTTTATCGCAGCTCCAACGTAATCGCACCCTTACTTTTACGGAATGGCGTGTGGTAATTCGGCAGAAGCAAGGCGGTTGTATCAAGAAAGACATCCTGATCGCCCAGTACCATACCATAACTTGTTTCCACGCATTCACCAACGACTATGGGAAAATGGAAGTTTTAAAAGGAATACTGTTGATAATGGGCGGCCTATGGAAGTTGCAAATTCTCAAATAGAAGAGGCTGTCCTCAACGAAATTGATGAAAATCCGACCACAAGTACCAGAAAAATTGCTTACAACGTAAACCTATCTCACTCGACGGTTTGGAGTATTTTGAAAAGGCAACTTTTGTATCCCTACCATATCCAAAGAATACAAGCCTTATGCCAAGAGATTTTCCGCCAAGATTGGCTTTTTGTACAGGGTGGGCAAATTTGAGTGTTATTATAGGCTGTCTCAGGAGCTATAAGAGATACGAAAAAAGTAGGTGCCATATCCCGGTCTCTTTTTTCGAGACTAACCCAATCCCGCAAATACCAAACCTCTATCCTCTTTTGTTTTTAAGTTATAGCCAAAAAGTTAAATTTTCTTGATTTCAAAAAATGCTCATATTTCGTTTATTTTTGAAATTAGAGAAATGGGGTTGATACGTTCTTAAGACACTTTTTTAAGTAGAATATACTGCCGTTGCAAAATTTTAAAAATATTTGATGATTTTTGAGATACAACATAAAGTGGTATTTTTTTAAATAGAAACTATAGTAGCTTATGGTGTTACTGAAAAGAGCATATTTTTAGCTTTCCAATGATGTATTGCACGCATGGTATATTTGGGGAAAATAAGCGTTATTTTTTAATTCTAAAATATTAAAGATTAAAATTCAAAATTTTAATTAATGAGAGGTAAACGTTAAATGCCATTCCGTAGTTATTCGCAAAAAACGATTTTTTTTTTATTAAATTTTATTATCTCGAAAATGATGCATTTTAGAGGTTAAGTTGGTAGAAACATTTTTTCAAATTTTTGGACAAGCTATCACATCCTGAAGTCGTGCGCATATATTATGAAACACCTGTATAAACTGTTAATAAACTGTTTTATTGTGTTTCTGTACAGAGGAGTATCTTTGATGCCCTGAATTATCTTATCTTTATTATCGAAATCATCAACAAGAGAGGGCGCGCATACTAACCAGACTTCCTTCAAAAACTCTCCCTCTTGAAAAGGTTTACTATGCCGAGCAATGACATTTGCAGCCGCGTAACTTGCCGCGCTCGTATTATAATTTTTGCGAACATATTTAGTCATAGATGTTTACTGTTTATTTCTGTCTTTCAATGCACTTGCAATTAATTCTTTTTGCTCTGGTTCGCTTTTTTGACTAACGGATTTGTGATTTGTTTCAAAATGCCGTTTCACAGACGATGTTCCAGAACATAAAACACACACCGCCTTGTCACCTTTACTAATCATGCCATATTTCTCTGTCCACCAAGTTTGAAATTCTCTGATACTCTTTCTATCTTGGACTTTTTGTTTTTTNAGTGTCTGAGGGAAAGTTTCTTTCGGGATGTGTGGAAGATTGGTAATTGTGTGGTTGCCTAAGCTGAATGGGGTATGAGACTGATATCGTCGGCCTAATCTGCAAAACCCGTAAGTCCACTTTTGGTCTAAATTGACATTTTAGTAGCATCTGTTGAGGAAAAAATAATCTATTGACTGAAAAAATTACATATTCCTGTAAAAATTACTTTTTCGTTAATTTAGTAAACCCCACAAGTCCATGCTCGTTGAACCCGACACGTAATAGCCGTAAGTCCTCATTGCAGAGTAATCCAGCATGCAGTGAACAGAGGGTTCTGTTGAAAAACAAATTATATGTAAACATCCGGTATCAGTGTGACTTTATTTGCAACTTTTGCTAAAGGTAAGTTATTCTATATTATGTTATATATTAACACAGTTGGACTTGTGGGATTTGCGAGAGGTTTCGCATAATAAAATAATTTATAATTAGTTTTTAATTTCATTTCAGCAAACATAATTGAGTATGTCAAAGATAAAAAAAAATTATAGGCAGATTTCGGCAAATTTTAGGCTGCCGAATAACCAAGTCACACACAATGCAATGAACAATCAAAACAATGTTGTACAATTGAATGAAATTTTAAATGAATCTGATCCTGAATCAGTTGCTAGAAATAATTATTCATGTCCTATAATGCACAATTGTAACCCTGTAACACCTTTCTGCGATAATGAACAGAGTATTGAAACTAGTATCATGTTACTTTATAATCAACAAATAGACAATATTACGAACGATATTATTTTGTGCAATCCGACACCAATACAAGAAGATTCTTATCCATTGTTGAAAATAAGGGGTTCATGAAATATTCAAATAAACTTAATCCGCATTATGACTTACCAAGTCGAAAAAAAATTATAACTTCCCTGATACCAAATATACAGGGTGTATCTGAATGACTACAACAAACTTCAAGGGGTGATTCTTTAGTGAATTTTAAGGGTACTTTCATATATGAACCATGGGCGACTTCGGCCCCCTGGGGAGCTACGCCCCTCCAAAAATGACGGAAATTTTTGGTTTAATTTTTTTTTCTCGAATATATATGCAGGATCAAATGAAACTTCCTCTGCTAAAAATGAAACAGGACGTTTCAACAAGATGGAATTGTTGCTTGGCGATGATGCAAAGATTAGAGGAATTAAAAGTTCTGTTGTCAGCAGCAATGTCCAATCTTCCCGGATCACTTTTGTCATCGGAAGACTGGGCACTAATTAAAGACTGCATATGTATTTTAAAACCTATTGAAGCTATGACTGCCGAGTTGTTGGGAGAAAAATATATAACGTTGTCCATTATCATCCCCTTAATTCGTGGTGTCCAACACGCTGTTGAGAATGCACAACCAATAACTTCCACGGGAAAGATATTACAAACTAATTTTCATGATATTCTATTGAGGAGATTGGGTTATGTTGAATCTTCAAAAATTTGTGCAAAGGCGACATTATTGGACCCCAGATTAAAGATATTGGCCTTCGATAAGGTAATAAATGGTAATCAAGCCCTTAAATGGATTACACAAGAAGTAGAGGATTTGATTGTGACTATCACTCAGCATCTAGAAACTCCAAATTCTGAAATACCTTGTACTCAGGGGCGTGCAGGTAAATTATTACTGTTAACTCATTTCCGTTAAAAGTTTTTTTTTTGTTTGTTATTGCAATAGTTCGATAATAGAGTCGAGTATATTTGAATATAAATTTTAGATTCCAGCGAGAACCAAGCTAGTTTACTTTGGGAGCATTTTGATATAAAGGCTAAGCAGGAATTCAGCGCGTCCACACCTACACATTCTGCCAAAGCACAAATAAAGCAGTACCTAGACCTACCATTGGTACATAGGAAGCTGAATCCTTTAGATTTTTGGGAGTCCAAGAAGGAGATGTTCCCGGAACTATATAAACTTGCAAATAAGTACCTCTGCGTGCCAGCAACACCAGTGCCATCTGAGAGGGTATTCTCAAAAGCAGGCGAGTTAACAAAGGATAGAAGGAGTAGGTTAAGCAGCAATATGATCAACGAAATCATGTTTTTAAATAGTAATTTGTAGTGCAATAAATATTTTCTTTGAAATATGTATTTTGACTGATGAATTTTGATAATCATTCTTTTTTTACTTCATATTAAACAACTAGTAATGAATACAAACATAAAACGTGGATTCTACTAATCATTTGAGGCTCTATTTAATTTAAATATTAAAATGAGACATTCAGAGAAGTCGGTAAATTCCCAAAACAGCCTTGAAGTAGTATGTCAGTCAATATTTTATATAGAATTTTATTTTAACTTTCAACATCGAATGAAAAAATATTCGAATAGAAATATAATCGAATGGAAAAATAATCGATTATTTTATTCAATTATTTTTTAGAATAATGCATCATAATGAATTTTGTGATCAATGACGTGCCCAAAATATTGTGTCGCGTGCCATTGGTTCGCCGTTCCTGACCTAGATGAATGTCTCCGACTTCCATATTCCAGACGACAACGTCTATAAATGTTACAAACGCTTTGAGGTAGGAGCTGTGATTAATGTCAATTTACTGAACATTTTGTTATGCATTGGGTGTAGTCAAGGATACTTTTAACGTTAAATATCAAAATATTATGTCTGATGAAAAGTACCAACATTTTACTTATAATTAAAAATTAGTACTTACCTGTTATTTTTATACTTTTAGCATACAAATTTTATTAAAACGTCTTAACGAATCGGAACATGAAGTAAATGCATCGTATAATAAATTTTTAATTTTACAAGATATGGTATGGAGAAAAAGGGAAAAAGCGACAGAACTCAAATCGAAATCCGAATTAAACATTAAAGTTAAAAGCAGTACAGATCATCTTAAAGAAATAGGTGGTAAGAACTCTTATACAACGATTGGTAAAATAACTTGCGATAAAAGTGTTAAAAATCGGCTTTTGAGATACAACAATCTAGTTACAAACATTGGGAACTTTAATTCAAATTCGAACGAAAAGCTTAAATTGTTTCAGGATTTACAAAAGCAAGTAAGTTTATTTTTCCTCATTGTGCGTTCATTATTTATTTCTTTATTCTTAGAACGAATTAGAGATGTTTACTAAAATGCAATCACAAATTATTTATAATTTTTCGAAAACATTCAATTATTAAATCACCATAACAACATAAAGTATTGATCAAACTTCACCCGAACTGTCAAGTTTTTTTCGAAATATATTAATTCAATTCAGTTAAATGGAAACTACATATATATATCAGAAAAAACGTAGTGAATTCGGCCGACAGTGTTTGTTTTCGGATAAGGGACCTGATTTAATTGACAATTATCCTTCAAATAGACGATATCTTCATGAATATATACTTCAAGATCCTGTGGAACGAGGCACCCAACTCAGTACACAATATGCCGTGCATGAGCTTAATACTGATAGAGCCACTTACGTTAACAGCGGAATGTGCCACGTCGAAGGCGGATGGCCTAAAGATGTTAACGTCAATGACGAGGAACAAACAAAAAGATACCGGAGAAAGATCGAAAAGGACGAAACATACACGGTTACTTTAATACAATTATGTAAAAATATGGAAAATTGCATCTTACAGAATAATGCCATCAATATCTATCAACAGTACTATACAGACGTTGAACCAACTCCGTTGGTTGAAAAAAATTCCGCCAGAACTGTTAATGTTTATCAAGATCAGTACAATATAACGAGACCTATTACAAATATTTCTTGGTCATCGGATAGCGGAACTAAAATGGCGACTTGTTATTGTAACCTAAAGTATCAAGCTGATATTTCTCAAGAAAGCAAAAATGCATTAATTTGGGAAGTTGGTAAGTTATCTTTATGTTGGTGACATGCCTGTGCAGAATTTTATTAAATTTATAGTCAATTCTAAAAATATGTAAAATGTTGAAATTTAAAACCTGAAGTATCTTTGAACATGAAAGCAAACAACGTAGTTTTGTTATGTAAAAAAAGATCTTTGTTAAATAACAAAGTCATTTAAAATTAATTTTTTCATAATATGGTAATATGGTACGGCGATTTGGTGGAAAGATATGTACCAAATCACCCGTGCGACGATAGCAACAAACCTCCCAGCAACTAACTTTTACCCGAAATTTCCTATCTACTTTCTTATCTGATATCTTCCTTATTATTAGAGATAGCAAAAAATTAAATGCACCACTTGAAAGCTTGAATCTTCCTCTATTTAAAATTGGTCTGCCGATAAGTTGATAAACCGAATTTTAAAAAACTGTTATCACAGTCAGAAAGAGCGCTCCTTCAACTATCAGAAAACTCTAGAACTATATTTATCTTATCGAAAATTTCCTGCTCTTTCTAGTGGTGTATAACACGCAACGATCACGCGCTTCACAAGTACATTTTTGGCCAAAAACTGCTAAATTTATACGACCTGAGTCAAAATCTCTAAAATGGGTCTAAAGATTTAAATTTTGTGCAATTTTTTGTGTAGATTTTAAATTTTTTCCACCATTTTTAACCCTTTAACGGTTAGTGGCTTTTATAGAGACCACTTGTCAATAAGGTCAAATAGCTGCATTACCACAACTAAATCGTTTCTAAAAACGAAAAAATAATTTACCCGTTAAAAGGTTAAAAAATAATTTGCCCATTAAACGGTTTAACGAGTTATGACGTCATCGATATTTTTTTCAAACGGCAATCCATTTTTATTACGGCATATGAAAAAAAATTGTTTTTCTGAATCTAGTACATACAATATTAATATTGGTTACATAAGAAAATTTTCGAGAAATTTTACTTTAAAGTTTAATTACTTCAAATGTATATTAATGATAAAAATAGCAGTAGACATGAGTAACTATGGTACCCAATTATTTTAAACAATTCCCTAAGTGTCAAAAACTGATTTAGTAGCTTCTTGAAGTGTGGTGGCGCGCCATCTTGTTGGAATAACTTCCGTTGGAATTGAGTTGGGTCAACATTAGCGGGAGGGACGGCATGACATAGTTTTTAAAAAATTTAAACATCTCTTTCCAGTTAAGATTTCCTCAAATCTTTTGCGGATATTGGGTGTGCGACTTTCTTGGTTAATTTGGATTTGGGTAACCCCATACCGACAATTTTGTCTATTGACTTGTCCACCCAATGTAAATGTTCCCTCGTCGGAAAGAATTATGTTTTTGACAAAGTCTACGTCAGCGTTGCAAAATTGTTGTTGCAAAAACTACGATTCATTGCTCATGAATGAGGTTTACTTTATAGGAATGATATTTTGCGCGTTTTAAAATTTTGTGAACCGTTGATTTACTAATGTCCAGATAAGCCCAATACCCCTTACAGTAAGGGGGTTTTCTTGCCCAGTCAAAACCTCGCTTTGATGAATCTCCGTTGAAACATTTGGTCGGCCAGACTTCGAGAAAGGCTTCGAGAGGTGCCCATGCTCTTTAAATTTAGTCACAGTTAGACTCACCATACTTTGGCTAATGAGTTGGCGATCAAGATATGTGGTATTAAAGAGGTCAACTACTTACTAAATCAGTTTTTGACACTTAGTAAATTGTTTAAAATAATTGGTTACTATAGCTACTCATGGCTACTGCTATTTTTACCATGTCAACAAATTTGTGGTAGTAAAACTTTAAAGTAATTTTTCTCGAACATTTTCTTATGTAACGAATATTAATATTGACTACTGTACTAGATTCAGAAAAAAATTCTCTTTTATATTCCGCAATAAAAATGGGGCATTGCTTAACTTCATAATTGCATAATTAAAAAACAATTACAAACCATACACAGTTAAATTAAATGTTGGAAATGTCTGCCGTTAGCTTCAATGCACGCAGCAATTCTTCGACGCATTGACTATCTAACACGCAGGAAAATTCCCGGAGTGTTCCGAATTATGTAGCAAGATACCACAATGTGCTCTCTTAATTGGTCAACATTTTCAACTGGAGTAGCGTAGACTAGCGCTTTCAGATGGCCCCAAAAGAAAAAATCTAAACAATTAATTTCGGGAGAACGCGGTGGCCAACGGTGCGGACCTCCTCGACCTACCCAATGGTCTGGGTATTCATCGTCCAAGTATTGGCGAGCAACCAAACTAAAGTGGGCCGGAGCTCCATCATGCATAAAGTACATGTTTTGTCTTACTTGAAGCGGTACATCTTCCAGCAGTTCCGGCAGTACTTCTTCTAGAAATTGCCGATCATCTGCACCGTTTAATCTGTTCGGTAAAAAAATGTGGGCCTATCAAATGATCACCGACGATGGCAGCCCAAACATTTACGGAAAATTGTCATGTGGATTTTCTTCTGCCCATATGTGGTTATTGTGAAAATTGAAAATACCATCCTTCGAGAAAGATGATTCATCGGTAAACAGAATTTCGGCTCCAAACTCAGGATTTTTAACTAAATTGTCTCTTCTTGGCAATGAAAATCTCTTGGCAATACAGCTTGTACTCTTTGGATATGGTAGGGATACAAAAATTGCCTTTTCAAAATTCTCCAAACCGTCGAGTGAGATAGGTTTAAGTTGTGAGCAATTTTTCTGGTACTTGTTGTCGGATTTTCATCAATTTCGTTGAGGACAGCCTCTTCTACTCGGGGATTTGCAACTTCCATAGGCCGCCCATTATCAGCAGTATTCCTTTTAAAACTTCCATTTTCCCATAGTCGTTGGTGAATGCGTAGAAACAAATTATGGTGTGGTACTGGGCGATCAGGATGTCTTTCTTGATACACGATACACGACAAAAAAATTGAAAAATAACACCAAATTATTTAAAACATAATTTTCGTGGATTCGCGAATTGGTCAACCAGATTATTAATAAAATCCTTCAAGTTTTCAAAAATATGCTTCGTATACACATTCATCATGGGAAGACCATTGAGACCACATTCTGCCATAGTGCTTCTAAGCCAGGTTTTATTGTCCTCAAGCTGCTAAAAGATCGTTCAACAGTATATGTCGTGCAGGGTTAAGTGACCAAAATTATAATGGCTTTTCTCGTTTCGGGGAAAAAAATGTTGGCATCTTTTATGACATCCACAACACTTAATTCTTTTGAGTCAGGTTTGCCATAGTTTTTTTCCATAGTTCGATTTCGTTGTTGATATTTGATAAATTGTAAAATTGGGAAAAGACTTCACCAGCTTCTACGAGGTCTTCAAGGGACATGTCTAACATTTGAGGTGGGTGTAATTTACATAAGGAAAATGACGGGGTGTTTTCTTCAGAAAAGCGAACTTCAAAAGAATTAATAATCGAGTCTAAGTATGATATTATTAAAGACCTCGGCCAGAATTCTGAGGGGCTTGCTGCTGGGTGGTTGTTCTGATGTTGTTGTCTCTCAACAATACGGGGCAAGGACTTCATGTCTTCTCCCAGTCCAACTTTTTCTGCAACGATAGTAGCGTCCCTAATAATTCCATTTGTGACGTTTTCTAGACCGTTACGGTGGTTTTCTATAAATTCCAAAAGGCGGCTGGGGCTCCAATGTGCTGGGATGCCTTAACTGCATTCAAAGCTACGGATTGGAGTACGTTTACCACAGGTTCCATCATAGCCGAGTATTTGGCCATTAAAATAAAGCTGAGAATAAATGAAACTCTAGAAGCTGCTGCATGGAGCTGATAAGTATTTTTCTAGTCGCATTATTTATTCTTATTTTCTTCCCCTGACGAGGTTTCAAAGGCCTGCGTTATAATAGGAAAATTCTCATTAAAAACACTAATATTTTTGTGTTTCTCGCTCCACCTTGTTTCGCAATGCTTGGAAATATTTGGTATCAATTTGCGTCTCAAAACTGATTCTTAAAAAAATGTAATAATATCTTTGATGGTACCTTCCTTTGATGAAAGCACTTCTTTCCCGGACATCGTCGAACAAGCGTCAAATCCTAAACCAACACATTTGTCCGGATCAAGATCTTCTTCTGCCGAAAACTCATCTATTGCTTTTGCAATACATTTCGCATCCAAAGCATAAAGTTTGACGAATCCGAGGTATACTTCTTGAACTTCTTTGGTTTCCAGATCAAAATATGGCATCCCATTCGATAGTTGTTCAGTACTCGAGATGTATATTTATTGTGTTTAAATTTTTTTTTTCGAATCTACCCCTAGGAGGGGTAATATATTTCGCACATTTCAGCGTTTGTGTAATTCATTTTTAATTTTGTAATACAAGTTTACTTTTTGCAGGTATAAACTAATTGTTATTTTGACAGGAGGTAGCTTTAGTTATAAAATTGAAAGCCTACTTGTTAAAAATAAATTGTACAATTTTGTACGATTTGGAAAATTTTGAAAAGACAACTTTTGTATCATTTTTTCTTTTTTTTATTTTGCAATTATGAAGTTAACGCTTGCTTTTGTTACTTGTTCTAACGTTTTAGTAAAATAAAATTTTTATTTCAAAAAATTGACCATGTTATTTAACATAAAGGTTGATTTTTCTCGAAAACGGTCAACTTTAGAGATCATGACCTTCAGTACCTTTTTTGTGTAGAAAACATTGACGGTTCAAATGGGCGTCTCATACCGTACTTTTTCCGGTGGCGTAGAAGTTGAGGACAAAAACAACCACTACCACTTTGTTTGCTCAGGACTTTTTTATTCTAACATAACCCTACATTTATTTTTGCAGTTTCTAATAGTAAATTTGGTTTAGAATCTTTTGTCACTGTTACAATAATTAGAGAATATTGATAAAAACCACCGTTTTCGTATTAAATGCAAAAATGTTAGGCTCCGAATTCAATAACACTAAAAAAAAAATAATTAAATAATCTGAATTGGCAATGGCAAGAAAATCGAACTGAGCTGTCC